AGATAGAATAATATGTGTTAGCATATTATTAAATCTGTTCAATTATTCATTTCCTTTGTATATTTCTGATTTTTAACTAAAAAAGGTTATTTTATTTACTAAAGTTAACAACGCTGAGTCGTATCCGGTAGTTTGCAGTATTGAAAAATATTAAGATAAGTATTCATCTGATATTTGAGTGTTTATGTTTATTATTAAATAAGAAAATAATTATTTTAGTACATTTTCATCTAAATCAATGAGATTTTATTTTAATTCTAGCATGTTTCTATAATTCTGTAGTTAATTTTGTTGTTGTTTCTTATCCCACTTGGTAGCTAGCAACATCTAGATCAAGTCCATGAAACTTTGTGGTCTCATCGAAGGAAGGAGGAGCTTCTGTTGGGATGGAGCACCTGTAGGTAGAAGTCTGACTGGGCTTCGTGATACCGAAGAAGGTTCCGGAAGGTCTTTTAGGGGCAACTACCCCGAATTTCCGTATCGTATGGGAAAAAATCCAGAAAACTCCCACCAGGTAGTGCCATCTTGCCATCACGAGGCAAGATGATTAACATTACTAATGCCATCAAGTCTACTCTTTTTTTGAAACAGTGTCTACAACGAAGCCTCTGGCCTGAATGGCTGAGTGTCTAGCGCTCTGGCGCTCAGTGCCATAGGTTTAGGTTTGAGTCTCGGCCGTGCCATAGATGTTTGTAATGATTCGGAATCCACTTTAAGCCGGTCCCGGTCTCTATATGACTGTAAGAGCGTCACGGAGCCAAGTCAAACTTCTAACTACAGGTGTACAGAAACCGCCCCTTTCCCTTCATCCATGAGTAGATTACTCATGGAATGTCTGTCCCGCACTGGAGAACACTGAGGATTAGTCACAATAACAACTAAATTCAGTGATTTATTTTATATTATTGATAATTATATTTATATTTATGATTATTTTATATTTATGATTATTTTATATTTATGATTATTTTATATTAAGGATTGTTTATTTTATATTATTTGATTTTATATTAAAACAAGCATAACCGTCCTGACAAAAAAATTAGTTGTAGGAAATAACGATATAGCCGCCAGCGGATTGAACCTCTGTCCTAATGTTCACCAGCATGTTCACCACTGAGCCTCGAGTCGAGCGACATTAATTTTAAAATTTTAAAATAGTTTCTCACAATTCTTTTACATTGATCATAAATCTGTATCGACTCAAAGAAAAACAAATACTATCGACACATTTAATTAAGTGTATGAACCAACGAATCCAAACTCTCTCATACGAATCGATAAAATGCGACACTTTTAAAAATGGAATAGGACTCTAATCCCCGGAGGATTGTTAATTAGGAATCAAGTGACCCCCCCATAGAAACAGCGCTCAGGTGTGTCGGGAGCATGCAGCGAGTCCCGGAGAAACACGACTTCTGGAGTCGGAAAACCGCAGTGATTAACGTGGACCAAAATAGCTTCTTCACTCGTGCGAGAAGCGTTAAGTCTCTTCTATTAATTAAGCGAGATGCATTAGCATAATGAAACAGTACGGGATTGGGAACTCCTTATTGATTGCTGTTTCTGAATTGTGCTTCCAAGAAAAGTTGGTGGTCCATGAAAATTATTTACATTTTGAGGGTGTTGAGATATTTTGATTTTCTCTATCAATTAAGAATTTAAATGAATAAACATACTATTGAAGTCATTCATTCGAAATAGTGTTTTAATTATCGTCTGTATCATTAAAATGATTCTTCGCTTTAAAACGTCGGTGAAAATAAATGTTATAAATTGATTTCCTCCTCAGTAGCGTAACAGCCCTATGGTAGGCCAAGGCCGTCTGCCTAATGACAGATTTCTAGACAGAAGATGTTTTCTTTTTACGGGTAGGGTATTTTAATTCTAGCATGTTTCTATAATTCTGTAGCTAATTTTGTTGTTGTTTCTTATCCCACTTGGTAGCTAGCAACATCTAGATCAAGTCCATGAAACTTTGTGGTCTCATCGAAGGAAGGAGGAGCTTCTGTTGGGATGGAGCACCTGTAGGTAGAAGTCTGACTGGGCTTCGTGATACCGAAGAAGGTTCCGGAAGGTCTTTTAGGGGCAACTACCCCGAATTTCCGTATCGTATGGGAAAAAATCCAGAAAACTCCCACCAGGTAGTGCCATCTTGCCATCACGAGGCAAGATGATTAACATCACTAATGCCATCAAGTCTACTCTTTTTTTGAAACAGTGTCTACAACGAAGCTTCTGGCCTGAATGGCTGAGTGTCTAGCGCTCTGGTACTCAGTGCCATAGGTTTAGGTTTGAGTCTCGGCCGTGGCATAGATATTTGTAATGATTCGGAATCCACTTTAAGCCGGTCCCGGTCTCTATATGACTGTAAGAGCGTCACGGAGCCAAGTCAAACTTCTAACTACAGGTGTACAGAAACCGCCCCTTTCCCTTCATCCATGAGTAGATTACTCATGGAATGTCTGTCCCGCACTGGAGAACACTGAGGATTAGTCACAATAACAACTAAATTCAGTGATTTATTTTATATTATTGATAATTATATTTATATTTATGATTATTTTATATTAAGGATTGTTTATTTTATATTATTTGATTTTATATTAAAACAAGCATAACCGCCCTGACAAAAAAATTAATTGTAGGAAATAACAATATAGCCGCCAGCGGATTGAACCTCTGTCCTAATGTTCACCAGCATGTTCACCACTGAGCCTCGAGTCGGGCGTCGTTAATTTTAAAATTTTAAAATAATTTCTCACAATTCTTTTACATTGATCATAAATCTGTATCGACTCAAAGAAAAACAAATACTATCGACACATTTAGTTAAGTGTATGAACCAACGAATCCAAACTCTCTCATACGAATCGATAAAATGTGACACTTTTAAAAATGGAATAGGACTCTAATCCCCGGAGGATTATTAATTAGAATCAGTGACCCCCCTCCCATAGAAACAGCGCTCAGGTGTCGGAGTACGCAGCGAGTCCCGGAGAAACACGACTTCTGGAGTCGGGAAACCGCAGTGATTAACGCGGACCAAAATAGCTTCTTCACTCGCGCGGGAAGCGTTAAGTCTCTTCTATTAATTAAGCGAGATGCATTAGCATAATGAAACAGTACGGGATTGGGAACTCCTTATTGATTGCTGTTTCTGAATTGTGCTTCCAAGAAAAGTTGGTGGTCCATGAAAATTATTTACATTTTGAGGGTGTTGAGATATTTTGATTTTCTCTATCAATTAAGAATTTAAATGAATAAACATACTATTGAAGTCATTCATTCGAAATAGTGTTTTAATTATCGTCTGGATCATTAAAATGATTCTTCGCTTTAAAACGTCGGTGAAAATAAATGTTATAAATTGATTTCCTCCTCAGTAGCGTAACAGCCCTATGGTAGGCCAAGGCCGTCTGCCTACTGGCAGATTTCTAGACAGAAGATGTTTTCTTTTTACCGGGTAGGGTTGTCAGCTCTACGCACAACATTCTACGGCCATATTAGACCGGGACCTACAGTTTCACATGGATTGCGAACCACTCACAAACATCTATGCCTTTGCCAGGGTTCGAATCTGAAGCATATATTGTACCAAAGGTTAGAGCGATATCCAATTGGATATCAGGTCGCACTCATCGAAAGAGGGAGAGGCTAGCAGCTTTTGTTGTGATGGAGCACCCGTAGGTTCCGTGTCGCTAAAGATGGAGGGCAATGCCTACTGGGAAGACTTTTAGGGAGAACTCTCCCGCATTTGCTTATCGTGTGGTAGAACTCAGAAACCTCGTACCATTTCGTTCGACTCACGAGGTAAATTGATGAATATAACGAATGCCATCGAGTCTCCAGATTTTGAAACAGTGCCTACAACGAAGCCGCCAGTGGATTGAACCTCAGCCCTAATACTGACCAGCGGCGTGTGTTACCACTGAACCAGGAGTAATTAAATTTAAAATAATTGTCGAAATTTATTTTATATTAACCATAAATTTATATCGTATCAAAGAAAAGCAAATACGATCTATAATTTTAATTAAGTGTATGGACATCGAATCCAAACTCTCTCATACGAATCGAAAAATTTGACTCTTTTGAATTAAGTGACCTTCCCCCCAATACAAACAGCGCTCAGGTGTCGGAGAACGAAGCGAGTCCCGGAGAAACATGACTCCTGGAGTTGGAAGACCGCAGTGATTAACGCGGTTAAAAATAGCTTCTTCACTTATGTGGGAAACGTTAAACCTCTCCTATTAATTAAGCGAGATACATTACCATAATGAAACAGCACGGGATCGAGAACTCTTCATGGATTGCCGATCCCTCTGCTTTTTTTAATTGTGCTTCAAGGAAACTGTGGTGGTACTCGAGAATTATTTCAATTTTGAGAGGGTTAAAATATTTTGATTTTTTCCATGAATTAAAAGTTTAAATGAATAAAAAAAAATTTAAAGGTATCCATTCGAACTAGGGTTTAATTATCGTCTGTATCATTAATAGTAATAAATGTTGGAAAATAAATGTTGGATTTATTAACGCTTTACAATGAGAAAACTGTTATTTGATTCGTAAAAAAAAAACGTGTGAAAAATAGGGGTTTAATATTTCTACACGTTAAATAAATGGCATAATTAATTAAAATGGGAAAGAAGCGTAATAGTGACTACTATAATTCTTTTTGGATTATCTTCCTCAATAATAACTTTTTCTTCTTAATGCTCAGTCAGTAAAGATTTGAAGCTACTACTACATCACACCACTATGCCTAGAGCTGAGTTGCCCCTTTACAGTTTGGGAATGACGTGGGTCAGAAGTCTGATTGGGCTCTATCAGATTAGATCTCTCTGATTGGGTTCTACAGTTCATATGAGAATGGGACTTACGGCTTTAAGTGGATTCCGAACAACTACAAACATCCATGGCTCCACCGGGATTTGAACCCCAAATCTGTTGTGCTGAGTGCAGAGCTCTAACCACTAGACCATCAGGCCCCTTATTATTTCCCACGCCCGGAATCGAACGAGGGCCACCTAAGTGAAAGTTAGGTATCCTAACCACTAGACCACCTGGAACTGAACTGCAAGTAAATGGTTTTAAGCTTCAAATCATTCACTTGCAAAGTTTTTTTCGGCACTTTACAATAGTCCCAGCCACTTGTTTGGTTGGATTAACTTTGGTCATTGATCAACTAGCCATTGACTGAGAACAAAAGACACCTTAATGAAAGGTGATTATTATTAAAACTCCCGAAAGTCAGAGGTATGAAGTTAAAAAAAATGGCTATACGTTTATGAAATTTATTTAGCAATCAAAGTACAGGGTGATTATAATTAAAGTCCCACGTTCAAAATGCTGTAAAAAAAAGAACCACTCGTCACAATAGGTTCATATTTGAACTGAATACTTGAAGAAATGAGAAACTCTACAGCATCAAAGAAAGTTCCAAAGTATATTAATAGATGGCGTTGTAAGAGACATAAAGAAAGTGAATTCGGCTGCCAATAACATTTTGAATTGATATGACAACGTATTTAGCATGATTTGCACATTAAACCAACTATAGTGTGCTTGCTTGTTTCGGTTTTTTTGAGGGAAAAAAATGACTTCCAAGTCATTCAACAGTTGTGACACTGTTAGTGGAAAGCCCATCCACCTTGGCAAGGTCGTGCCAAATTGGATGGGAAAAATCGGCGGAATTTTTTTGGAACATTTTTTGATGCCATACCATTTCCCCCTTCTTCAAGTATCTTCAGTTCAAATTTGAACTCATTGTGACCAGTGTTTTTTTTTTTTTTTTTTACACCATTTTAAAGTGGGATTTTAATTATAACCACCTTGTATATAATGTTTTAGAAATAAATTCAACCTAATTGAACTTTTCTTTTTTCTTTTTTGTACAACTTAAAAATACTTTACGATAATACGGTAATAATTTTTCCTTTCAAGATAAAGTGATGACACTTCCTTTTTAATGGTCCAAGATGATTTTTTTTGTTGTAGTTTATTGACTTTATAACTATGCGTTCACATCCTCCAAAAGATAAAAGAAATGCTCGAGAGTTTTATGGGCGCACAATCTGCAGCGCAAATTTGTTTAACCCGAAATGGAGGAAAATGGGAATTCTTATCAACACTTCCAAGAAGGAACAAGTTTTATTTTTGAAATAAAAAGTATTTGCGTCTGCGAAACAAAAGATATTCGAACATTTTCAAACTATTGAATTTTGTAATTTTATGTAATATAAACTAAGTACTATGTAATTTTGTACTATAAACTATGGAATTTTACTATATTTCAGTTAAGAACAAAAAGACGTTTTTTGATAAAAAAAAATACATTTCTTCTTTGCAAATTCTGAATGAAAATTTAGCAAATTTAATTTTAAAATATGATGTAAATTTAATTTTATCATAAAGATTGTAAAAAGCAGTTACAAAATATGTGTATAAAAAGGATGTTTAACAAGTAATTAAAATTTTTTTTTTAACTGACTATTCTTATTTAAGGGCCTCACGGCCTAGCGACTAGTGCTCTCAGAGACAGGTTTCGGGTTCGAGTCCCGACTGTGCTATGCATGTAGTAGTGGTTCGGAATCCACTTTTATTTGACTTTGACCTTTCAAAATAAAAGGGGCTTTGATGGCCAATTCACTAGGGCTCTGGCCTTTGGTACAACAGGCTTCAGGTACGAATCCTGGCGGTGGCATGAATATTTGGCAGTGGTTCGGAATCCACGTTAAACTGTAGTTCCCGGTTTAATTAGCCCAAAGTGTGCACAAAATGACAGCCAAACAACAAATTAAACTGAACTAAAACTCTTTTACTTTTTGGCAACCTGTTAATTGTTACTTAACACACAAAAATTCCATTTAAGGATGATGGCTATCAATGACGTATAAAATCAGAATAGAAAATTAATTTTAAAAAATTGTGTATTTTGACGCTAATATACCTAGCGGTTAATTTTTGTAACGGCGATAATTAATTGTAAAATATATATATTTTTTCTTTTTAATGCAGCTGGCAAACACTTAGACAGCTTGGTATTGGATGCCTTAAGGCAAGCGCTGCACAGACGTTACTCACTTTGCATTACCCAGGGGGAACGTGTAACTTGAAGATAAGCCAAGGACGCGGAGTCACAATGCCCCGGCAACGCTCTACGATCCTGTTAGACCGGGACCTACAGTTTAAAGTGGATTCCGAACCACCACAAACATCCATGGCACCACGGGAATCGAACGAGCCCTGTGGTACCGAGCGCCAGAGCGCTGGGGCCACTGGCCTATTGTAAAATATATAAATAGGATATATATTTTACAATTAATAACAATATTTTACAATATGTTTGGGGCTTGATGGCCGAGTGGCTAGCGCTGGTGCTCGGTACTACAGATTTCGAGTCCCGGCTGTGCCATGGATGTTTGTTATTAGTTCGAATGCACTTTAAACCGTAGGCCCCGGTCTAATAGTACCCTAGAGCGTTGCGAGGGTAGTGCTCGCGTCCGTAGCCTATCCTCAAGCTACACTTGCCCCCTGGTAGTACTAAAATGAGTAATAATCATTGCATATGACACACAGATAGATGTCCCTGTATTGCCAGCTGTTTGAGAAAAAAAAATTTATTTCCTTTTTATTTTAAAAATAAATATATTTAAATATTGAAAAAATATATTATATTAATTTTTTAATATAAATTATTTAATTTAATGTTGCTGTTGTTACTTATCCCACTTGGTAGATATCTATTTTAGACCAAGCCCACGAACCAGTATGGGCTCATGGTTGAAGGGGAAGGAAGCAGCTTCTGTTGTGATGGGGAACCGTAGGTAGAAGTCTGACTTTTGCTCCGTGATGCTCTTACTGTCATAGGAGACCGGGACCTACGGTTTAAAGTGGATTCCGAAACACTACAAACATCCATGTCACTGCCCTGACTCGCACCCGAAACCTGTGGTACCGAGCGCCAGAGCGATAGACAATCGACCATTCAGGCCCATTTAATTTAATAAAAATATATTTAAATATGGTCACGGAATCACTCTTAACGTAAGCTTGGTTTGTTCTTCATGCTGTTTGGTTTTTTATGTCGCTCTATGGCCATTTTATGCACACTTTAGGCTAAATAGACCGGTGCCTACAGTTTAGCTTGGATTCCGAACCACTCACAAACATCCATGCCACCGCCAGAATTCAGACCTGAAGCCTGTGGAGACAATGGCCAAAGCACTAGCCAATTGGCCATCAGGCAGCTCGTGCATGCTGCTTTACCTACAAACCCAATCACCAAACCCATTTCCAAATCGAGATCGTCTTCATGGAGGGGGACGGGGGTTACCATTAACCCCCATGGGGCAGAAGGGTGAGGTGGGAGTAACTGCACGTAGCGGCAAACAACGCTCACATTTAATATTCATATATATTGATTTATGAACTTGATTTAAAACAAAAACCACGTATTCCGAGCAATAATTCATTTACTGTAAAAATTCTGAGTTTGAATGTATTTAACAAAGGATTTTATGTAAATTCGAATCTATATATTCTACAACGGCTCTTTTTTAATTTCTGCCTACGGGCCTAATCTTCCGCCTACGGGTGCTCCATCACAACAGAAGCTGCCCCCTTTCCTCCATCCATGAGTAGACTACTTATGTGCAGATGATCTTCGGTCCCGCACTGCAGGACACTGAGGATTCGACTGACACCCACACAAAAATAATTAATTCGAGAAAGCTTCAATAAATCATTTATCAAAATAGTTTGTATATTCTGGAGCCTCATATACGTGGGGGTTAATTATTTTAATAGCGATAATTAATTGTATAATATATAAATCTTATCTCCTTTATTTTAAAAATAAATATATTAAAAATATTTAAAAAATAAAAATCAAAATAATATGTATTGTAATTAATTTTAATATCAATCATATTAAAATTAATTACAATACATATTATTTTGATTTTTATCAGTTAAACGAATTGTAAATAAAAAATTATAAATTAAATTATAAATTATTTAATTTAATAAAAATATATTTAAATATTTTCACGGAAACCGCAATTAATATAAGATTGGTTTGTACATGATTGTTGTTACATCTGCAAACCCAACCACTGCAATTCCAAAACGAAATCTTCTTCATGGAGGGGGACGGGTTACCATTAACCCCCATGGGGCAGTAGGGTGGGGTGGGAGTAACTGTACGCAGCGGAAACCACGTTCACATTTAATATTCATATATTGATTTATGAACTTCATTTAAAACAAAAAACCACGTATTTCGTGCAATAATTCATTTAATTTATAAGTTCAAGTTTGAATGTATTCAACAAAGGATTTTATGTAAATTCGAATCTACATATTCTCTAACGGCTCTTTTTAATTTCCTTTAGCGTTACAGTAAAAATTAACTGTCGTTCAATAAGGAAGCAATTCTTCTTAATCTCAAGTGCAAATAGGAAGCAATCTCTGTTTAAGAACAAAGTGTGTTATCTGATCCAAAAAAAGGTGAAGTCGGGACAGCTGAATATTAATAGACATGTAAAGATAAGTATCTGGAATAATAAGTAGTTTGACTTTGTTTTATTTATCGTTTAATTGCATTTTAGATTAATATGTAATCTGTCCTCGATCAATAGCTTCTTATCTTCTGTCTTTATGTCATTAGTGTTATACTACTTGTTAAAATTTCGATCTAATCCGTCTACAGTTTATTATATAAAAAAACTAATAAAATAAAAAACAAATTCTTCTTAAAAAGAATTTAATTGAGGAGGAATTGCCTGACATGTTTTCAATAATTTTTATTTTAATATTAACAATCTCCATGTCATTTCTCAAGCATTCTCTTTATTTTATAAGGGGCGGCCTGATGGCCAATTGGCTATGGCGTTAGTCGTTGGTACCACAGGCTTCAGGTTCGAATCCCTGGCAGTGGCATGTTTGTTTGTGAGTGGTTCGGAATCCACGTTAAACTATAGATCCCGGTCTGTTTATCCTAAAGCGTGCACAAAATGACTGCAGAGTGACAAACCAAATTAATTCAAAAGAGCTTTTGAAAGCGTAG